TGGACTTCAATTCCCATATGAATTCTGGGAGTTGAAGTCCACCCATCTTGAAGTTGCTAAGGTTGAGAAACACTGGGGTAGGGTGACCAGAAACATAATGTCCTTGGTAACTTCTCCAAGGGCTTCTGATCTGGATCTAGCATAGATCAAGAGTGGGGTTTAATCCATGCAGCTTTGGGGGGCTGGCGAAAGTCCATTTTTTGTGGGCAAAATGGATTTCCCCTTCTGCAAATGCATAATGGAACAGGAATGTCTGCAGGGCACGGTCAAAAAAGTCAAGATGGGGGTTTTAACCCTGCAACCGAAGCTCTGCCTGTTTTTTATGTGGGGGTGGAGCTTTAATGACACCTTCGCGACCGCCAGCTTGACCTTTTCGAACGTACCTTGCAGTCACCCCTGCAGTGCAGATGACGCACCATGCATTAAAAAAAAATCGGTAATGAGCCGAACATTATTTGCTTCCAGTAATTCATTTATTGAGCCCAAAATAGTAATATTGTGCTAAAAGCAGCCTCAAACAATTTTATTGAGCCCAAAATAGTAATATTGTGCTAAAAGCAGCCTCAAACAATTTTATTGAGCCCAAAATAGTAATATTGTGCTAAAAGCAGCCTCAAACAATAGCTTTTGGGAGAAAACTCCAAAACTTGGTAAAAAAGAAAAGTTTTGTAGCGCTGAGTGAAGTGTTCTTCACCTTGTGGCCAGGAGTTCCCCATACAGCATGCGCTGATGCCATGGACCATACATTGCCCTCCCGCAGCCACAGCACATATGTCCCCCCCCCCAGACCCAACCAGCCCCTCAGGCCCTCTTGGTTCAAAAGTCAAAGTCAGCGAACTCCGAGGGCTTAAGAATCAGTCCATCTCATAGCAAAGTAGTTGGCCATTGTCTTCTTCTGAGTTCTGTATTTTTTTCATGACTTCCCAGACTAGCCTACAGACCTGGGACCTCATAGGGTCTCCCATCCAAGGAGTAGCCAGGCCTAACTTTTTGAGATCAGTCGAAGAAAGCTAAGAGCTTCCACAGCTGAAACACAGAAGTTGATCTTTCACAGAATTGCAAGGCAAAATAAATTAGTTAATCTCGGTGCACTGCAGGCAGGGAGCTACGTGTTTCACCGTTCTTTTCCCCAAACACACACATACCAAAAAAACCCTAGCATTTCAAGGAGAAGACTAAAGCAGAACATTGCTTCCTGTGAAGCAACATTTTTATGAGCAGAAACCTTTTTCTTTAAAAAAAGACACGTGGACTTGCAGTTTGTATCAACCCTCCTTGGGGACAGGGTTATCCCAGTGAATTCTGTGAATGTACCCCCTGGCAGCGTTTTGAGCCAACAGGACCAGAACCTTGAAAACGGAACCAATGGGAGGCCAGGGCTGGGGTGGAGAAGAGAGTTGGGCCCAGGGAGGGAATTCTGAATCCACGATTGTGTTATGGGACCCTTCCCCTTATCCCACTTGTCTGTACTGTACTGGATGGGGCACCAAAGAGGAATGTAGCAAGAACGACACTTTGGCTGACAATCAAGTCCGGTTCAAGCTTTGGGAGTTAACTTTTTAAAGTCCTGAGCAGATCAGGACTAGCATAGCTCAAGTAATTACCTCTTCCTCAGGGGTGTCCACAGCATATGGTCAAAAAAGTCCATGCAATTGAATCTTCACCTGTTTTTATGCGCAATGCATAAAAACCAGGCAGAGTTTCAGTGGTACCATCCATTGTGGTCACCATCTTAGCTTTTTTGACCAGGGAGCCCTGCTCCTCCTCGTGAATCTGTTCTCACTGATCTTCAGAGGTCTTCCTCCAAGGGTGCTAATGGTGGGCGCTGGTCTTTTCAATTATGCCCCCCTGTTTAGAATCATAGAATGGTAGAGTTGGAAGACATGGCGGTCCAACTGTCTGCCATGCGCAGAAATACCATTTATTCCATCCATGGAAGTTGGGTCTCCAGCTGCTTCTTCAATGTTTCTCCATGATGGCAAAAGGTGAGGAGTTTGGGAGCAACTCTTCCGATTAACAAATTCTATTCAAAGGCAGAAGTTTCCTTGAATTGCACCTGACTTCATCAGATGCATAAAGTGGCCACAGTAATGCTGGGCTTAAACTGGGATGAGGAGGAGGTAGGGAGAGGGGAGGACAATTTGGTGATGCAGAGGCAGGTGACATGTGGGACAGATTACAAACCTCTTGTCGATTAACAACTGTCATGTATTAAAAACCCGCTGCGTTTGTGGAGACCTTCTAGATAGCCTGAAACCTTTTGATCTAGGTGAGTTTCACCATTTCTCGCTGGCTTTTCCAAAACGGTCACTTTGAGGTCAGCTGCAGAGTGTCCTGGGGGGTTGGAATGCTCTGATATGATCCTTGTTTTGAGTCCTGATGTTGGTCTTCTAAGAGATGCTGTAACCTATCCAGATGGGCAGGTTAACCAATCAAGACATACACACTCACCCACAGCTGCGTAATGGGCATCAAACCCCGTGAAGTGTTCCTCGTTGGAGAAGTCGGATCGGAAAGTGAGGCTCAGATATGATCCTGGAGATGTGATAGGCTCCCGCCCTGGGGTCTGTTCCGGGTCTCTGTCCTCTTTTCCGCAGAAAGTACCCAAGACCTGGTCCTCAGACTCGACCTGTTGGAAGTCCAAAGAAAAGAAATGTCCATCAACTGAAATGACCATCAGCTTCAACGTGGAGATAACAAGGTGTTCTTTGTCTGCTCTTCCTATTTTGACTTCATGAGACTATCAGACCTGCAATGTCCTTGATCAGACAGAATTCACTGCGTATCATACCAATATTTGTTGAATGCCCAGGGTCAATTTGATTGTTTTAGAGCAAGTGAGGGGGGTTGACTCAGTAGAAATGCACATTTTCTCAGTCCACAACAGTTGCAGGCTTTTCAGAGGGGGAGATGGTCAAGAGAGGGCCATGTGGCCAGAAATAATAAGGTAGAATGATATTGTACCTTAGTATGGACAGGTAGCTGTTGATCCTTGGTGAGCACGTCTCAATCATGGAGCAGCCCAAGATGCGGGGTGTCCGTGTGCATGCAGCCACCATCTTGACACGTGCACACTCAGACACACCTGCAGAGATCTGGCCAGGATGGCTGGCACAGGCAGGGCAGCCTGGATCTCTTGCAATCAGGTGTGTTTAGATTCAGCTAAGCTCTAACTGGTACAGTGTGGGTTGATCCCAGCCAGGGCCATACAGGCAACCCTCTTTGCCAAGAAGGATAAATTAAGGCAACGATTCTTAACCTTTGTGTACTGTGGATCCCTCTTGAGCATCTGGTGGAAGTGCCCTTTCCAGAAAATATATATTCAAATTGTCAGAGTATTTTTTTTTTTTAATCTCTGTAAAGCACTGCCTCCAGCATTTGAAAGTTTGCAAAGATGTTGGCTCCCAGTCTCTTTTTCCATTGTGGCAGCTTAACCAAGAAAGCCTGTAACTTTCAGTAGCATTCCTAATGTTGACTTCAGGACCTTGAACTGAAAGATTTCCCTTATTTATATGATTAAAAATCACATACTTAAGAGTGTTCATTGAGGGCAAAGGAATGTCACAAGTAAATGGTTAAACAGAAGCCAAAAGTCCCACCTGTTTTTTTCTTTTAATTATGCCTTTAGTTTTATCACTTTCCTCCTTCAAAAAAAAGCTCACTCACCGTGAATTTATAACTGTTATAACATTAAAATATATTTAGTATTAAAATTGGAGGTTTTATAAAGCAACCCAAATCTGAACACTCTTTAAATGGCTTTTAAGAATTCTCATTTGCGCTGTCCGAGTTGTAATTTTCCCCCATCCAAATTCACAGGCCCTCTGAAATCTATCTAAGGACCCCTGGGGGGGGGGGTCTGTGGACCTCAGATTAAGAGCCCCTGGATTAGATGGCCTGAAGTCAGCGGCAGACTAGCAAGACTTTGGGGGCAGAAACCTTCCAGCCGTGGTCTGTGGGCAAGAAGTTAAAACTCTGTAAAAGAGTTGGGGGCCAGCCCTTTAATGCTCACGACCCGCAAAATGATGGAATACATGAGAAAGGACTCACAACAACACGGCCGCGAAATCTCACAGCTGTAAGCGAGGCCTGAGACCTTTTCCAACGGCAGGCATTTCAGAGGATGGCACTGAGTCGTTTTCAAATAATTATAACCAAAAAGGAGCCCAATTCTCCCCTTCATTCACGGCTGTCTTCACACCATGTGTTTCTCTAACCATGGCAGAAAGGTGCCCCAGGAACCCCTCTTTGCTGCCATGTCCTCAATATCCAACCCACCTTCAAGCCATGCTTAGCGGTTTTAAAGGACAGTTCTTCCTCTTCCCCCAACATGATACATGTTGCCCATGGACTCCATCTGGCACATGTCACCAACAGTTTGGTTGCTGCATGATTGGGGTGGGCATCTAACCTGGCATTACTCATCAGTTTAAGCCGCTGTGGGCATAATCCCTCCGTGCCAGTCCCCAGGCATTGCCTTCCACAGCCAGGAAGACACTTCGACTGGCACTTTTCCTAACAATTGTCAAGTCTTCTGAGTGCTCTTCAAAAAGCAGGCTGGCACTCTTTTGAAACACACAGACTCACTTTTACGCGGGGGTTCAGAGTTTCTCCGAAACAGCACTCCTTCTGCGCTGAACAGGGACTGTGTTTGTTGGGGACTGGATTTGTTGCGTGCCCTAGAGGTTTCCCCACCACTTCTGCCAACAGGTGGTTTCACGTGGCGGCAGTTTGAGTATTTTCACAATTTTGCCCATGGCGTTCTAGCTTTCGTGGCACGAGGTGTCACGGCGGTGACTGTTGCATTAAACATGAGCCAGTCAGAACGGCACGTGCTCCATGGCTCTCCACCAGCTGCTTCTAGGGGCTGTTGGCCATGAGGTCAGAACTGTTTGGACACTTGTTGACAACCCTGTCTTTATCTGACAGCACAAGTCAAGGATGAAGCTTGCTTGTTATTGATTGCTGCTCCTGCTTCATCCCAAGGTCCATCTGCCACAGGGCTACTTTCAGACATGGGTTTAGTGCTATTACCGAAGAGTGCCAGGCCTGTCTTTGAGATAATTCAGCGGACAGGTCACAAGCGCAGAGAAGGTTCTTCTGAGTTGTAACGTTATGGCTCTTCTTCCTGCTTCACCCCACGCATCTACCCACATGTGCCAACTGTTAGTTGACAACTTGATGGCAGGTGCTGGGCAAGTTTAGCCTTGGGACGAGAAGACCAGGGGGAGAATAGAAGAGGGCTCTTCAAAAACCTGAAAGGGTGTTGCATAACAAGGGTGCAGGATATGAAACGAGGCATTTCAGGTTCAGAAAAAAAGTTCCCAAGAGAAATTTGACAGTGGAATTGGTTAGAAGAGTGGCGGGAAGCCCTTTCTGAATGCCTCCAAATAGAGCTGTCCCACCATCTGCCTTTAATAGGGATTCCTGCAGGGAGCAGGAGGTTGGACCTGATCCATCTCCAGGATCCTGGAGTTCCACAAGATCATACTAATAAAATTAATCAGATCCTGAAGCGTTGCTCTGCAACTTCCTTTCTTTAAGTGTGCATGTATAAATCAAATGCCATAAAGAGTATACTTTTTTCAACATTGTCTAGGCCTACTGGGGAAATTATATTTCCCCCAGTCCCAGCTCCAACTGGAGCCAGAGGCTGAACAGGATCTGGAAGCAATGCGAAGATGCTTTGTTCAAACTGATGTGCGCATCAGGGCAGGAGTGGAATGAAAAATATATGGTCTCCATTAATCTGGTCTCCATTCCTTCGCATATAACTTTCATGTCCCACATCTTGTGCCAGCTCCTCCAAACCCTCATAATGAACCAATGAAATTAATAAATCCTGCTCGGGCTCCTGCTGTTTCCTGGAAGGACAGATCCTGCCCTGGTAAGTTGAACAGCATCCTGGATGACAGCATGTGGTCAAGCTGGAGCCCGGCTTTTTAATTTTTCTGGAAGAACAGGACAGCCAACCGTTCCATTTCGAGCTGTGCCAAGACGGTCAGCTTCCAAGGCACCACACCACGCCCTGCCCCAATATAAATTATCCCCCCTATTTTCTTATTTTCACTTTGCCACAAGTGTGTGATGCCATCAGCTGCCAACAAGTGAAGTCATGCGACCGCTTGAAAGTTTCCATAAGGTTGTCTTTGTTTCCAAAGTCAAAGCTCACGCAAGATGCAGGAAAACACGGTTTGCATCAAGTTAGTGCATTAACTTTAAAACAGTTGTAGGGGAGGGAAAGCTTCAGGTTTGTAAGTAGGACATTTGGGAGAGCTGGAAGGATACTGCTGAAGAATAGTCCAAGTGCCAACCGAATGTATCCTTTATCCCTCGGCACTGTTACGAAAATGTGATTGGGTCAAAGGAATGGGAAAGATTTCTGCTTAAAAACAGAAACCCTGCTGCTGGACCAGCCGTCTCTGCCCACGTGCTCTGCAGACTGGGGCACCATAATGCCCGTCATCCTCAGCCAGCATGATCTTTGTGCACCATGAGGGTTGTAGTCCTGGAGGGTACTGGATTGGGAAGGGCTGCAGGGCACCCATTTAAGCTGGTTAGTTTTCCAGTTTGGTTAGTTTACAGTTCTGTCTATTTCACCAACCCAGAAACTGGCTTAATTGGTAACCAGGTTCAGTGGTCACAGCCAATATGTCATGAAGATTATACGCTGCCTCTGTTGCTATATAAAGTAGCTTCATATGTCTGCCTTTTGTGTAACCTGTGTGTAATTAACACACACATTCCACAAAACCCCAGAAAAATAAAAGGTTTCAGCAAGAGAGATTTAAGGACTTAATTCTCCTTCTGAGAAAAAGGGTTCAGCTCAGCCGGATCTGGTCATTTTGAGAGGCGATTCTTGAAAACCTGATGGACTTTTCTGTTTAAGGCTGTGTGTATGTTCATAACAGGCACTGGAAACTGGGAAGAGATTCTGGGAAAACATTGGCAAGAGTGGCTTTTAAACCAGGTTCTCTCCACCTTCCCCAACCAGGCACCCTCCAGGTGGAATTTCAATTTTCTTTCATGCTGAATTTTGGGCCCAGGTCAGCCTGGGAGGAACAGAATACCTTGGCTGGAGGAAGATTTCCAGGCAGGCAGCAAACATGCTGGGGTGTCTGTTCCTCAGTGCCAAACCATTTGCAGAAAGCTCATTTTTGCTGGAGGGGGTGTTTAAGCAGGGGTGGGCACTGGGAACGGGTTGAGAGTTTGAGAGGAGGTTGGAGAGGGGCTGTTTTCTCCTGCAAAAGTTCTGCCTCTGGGTGTTGTGCGTCCTCCTGGCACCGGAACCCGGCTGTTTCTTTAGCCGCTCTTTGTTCTCGCTCTGTGGGGCAATAGCCGCTGGCAGTTCCTCCAAACAGCTTTGGCACCCTTTCTGTCCCCAGGATTGCCCTGGGTCGAGCCTCTGTCGTGATGCGACAGGCTGGCAGGAGAAGAGGAAAAGGAAAAGAAAGGAAAAAGGAAAAAGGAAAAAGGAAAAAGGAAAAAGGAAAAAGGAAAAAGGAAAAAGGAAAAAGGAAAAAGGAAAAAGGAAAAAGGGAAGGGAAGGGAAGGGAAGGGAAG